ACAGCATGGTTTATCTATGTCCAATCAAAAAGACAAATTTGATGTTCACATTTTTATTTGTGAATACGTTTCTCAATTTGATGCTCAATTTGTAACTTTTTTGCCAAAGTATTGTAAACGTTGGTCTTTAAGTTGAAGAGTTGATGAAAACTTCTTGTAACCTCATTCCTAACTCCAACCTAAGAAAAAGACTATTAAATCATCAAAAAATTAGGATAATAAAACAAAATCTATAGTTAGTGGTAAGCATGTAAAATCATTTGAAAATTCATCAAATAAGACAAAGAGTCGTAAAGTAGCAGCTATAGACTTATTAACTAGTTATTTAAATGAGCTGTTGTAAGCTGGTAGTTGTAATCTTTTTAAAGATGACAGAAGAATTAATGTGAAAGTAATTTAAAATTTATCTGTTAAGCAGCCTTTTGATTCAGAACATGCTCAAAATACTCTAAAAAAACTCTAGCACTCATATTAGATAGTAATATGAGCAAATCTGATTATTTACACTTGAGAAATAATGCTGTGAGTAAAGGTTGTAATCTCTACCCTGCATACAAAAATGTTCGTGCTGGTAAAAAATAATGTTGTGCTGAAAAAATATTATGAACTATTAATAGTTTTTCTAAAAAAATAAACTTTCAATTGTTAGTTGATCATACAACAATTCGCCTAATACAGCAGAAACAAGTTATCAATTCCATGAATGATCTTGAAAGACTAACATTACATTCTAAAGTTCGGTTTGATGGATCAACTAGCCTATTTATAATCTATTTATAAATTTATTTATTTATAATCAGGCAACAGTTGAGATAGAAAACCAAAGTTTTTTAGTAGAAGCTAAAAATATGTTGTTGACAGAGATAGGTCTCTGCTATAGCCTTTTAACTTTCCATGCTTGAAATAAAAACATGGAATGTCTTTTTAAAATTAACTACAAATTAACAGTGAAAAAGTGGTCTACAAGGACACCATTTGAAAAGAAAATTATCCAAGGAAGAAAACAAAAAATTCAAATAAAGTTTCGTGACGAAGTTGGACTGGTAGTTGATATGCCAATATCTGGTGGCTCTGGGTCATCAAATAATGGAAGCACTGCTAGAAGACTTTTTTAGAATGCAGAAAAGTTTGCTCTAATTCTTGAACTTGATGCCAGTATGATAAAGATGTTACATGTTATTTTGTGTACATTGTTATTTAGCTTTCTAATTGACACTTCATTATTTAGGGAGTTTTGAGCTTCTTGTGCCTCTTCAGTAAAGAGGCAAAAGAAGCACAAAATGAAAACTTAAAGAAGTTTTGTGAAACATTTTCCAAAAAGTGTTTGCGGTCAAAAAGAAAATGAAGATTTATCAAGGCAACTAACATGTTCTTTTGACCCTTTGATAAGTAGTTTGAGAAAGTCATATTATTCTAAGAGCAATGTTTTTCTAATTAGCATTCTAAATGTACTTTAAGAGGTTTCAATTTTTGACTAACTATAAATTGCAATTGCATAGTTTTGATTTTAGTTGGTATTCAAGGTGTTGTTTACTTTTTAGTATTTATTATTTTATAATAAAATAATGCATGTTATGTATATAAACGTTTTTTTGAATATACAAATTTGCTTGTACTCTTAGATATACTTTATAAAGTATTCAATAGCTCTAACTGTATTAACACTTGTTAATTTTTATTTGGTTGCTAAGGACATGTGAACTACTTAGATACAATTGATTCGAATTTTATTAACTGTGTCTATAAACCCTTAGAGGTAAGATTGTTTTCAAAGTTTTAATTTCATTTTTGAATTAAAGAAATTTTGAATTAAGCAAGTTTCATAAAAAAAAAATAATAATAACTGGTTTCTAAGAGCCCAAAACGGCATAGCAACACCAAAAATTACTAATTTTTGTTTGTGTCATTATTTAAACACATAAAATAGCATCGTAGCAATAATATCAGTTTAATTTATAAATTTGACATTTCAGGAAAGTCTCTTAACTTAGGTAACTATGCAAAATACACTGTTGCTATGGAATATAGGTATCCATAGCAACTAAATAAACAATCTAATGGTACCATTAAATTCGTAGTATGAAATATACTCAACCTGGCAATTATGGGGAAAATCTGATTAATATTTTAAAGGTTATTACTTTTGTCCAGCTAATAATGATTTTGGCCCACTGTGCGCTGTAGCGAAAAAAAATCAGAATAATTACCAAAAATGTTTATTCTGCGCATGCTTATCGACGAAAAAATTCGCTTCGCGCGAATATTTCGTCTTGTGGAAAACGGCCTTTAGTGTATATGTATATATATACATTATGTTTAAAAATGTTCTTAAATATTATGTTTAAATGTACTTTTAATAATAAAATAATAATTTAAAAAAAGCTTTTTTTTCGTAAATAAAGAGACCATAAATTTTATAAAACTTGAATATTGATATTGATACATTAAATCTTTAATTCTTAGAGTAAATAGAACGGACAAAAGTCAAATGAATAAAAATGGCATATTAACTGATACGACTAGTCTAATTTACATTTTTATTGAAAATATTTTATAAAGTTCTTATGGTTTAAAGGTATATCATATCTTATCATAGATAGTTATTTACATCATTTGCTAAATTATACTATGATGTAAATAATAGGCCAAAAAATTGTATTCATGTATTATGTATTTTGTTGTTTATTGCTTATCATAAAAACAATACCCCTATATAATAATAACAAACTGAAATTCAGTTGCTTTGAAATTTAAAAATTCTACCCAATTTTTTGACCAACCTTAAAAGTTTAATGAACTACACTTTCCTATTTTAAGCCATTTGGAAGTTTTTCTATGTATAGAAAAAGTATGAATATATTGCTTCATGATATTTTTATAACACCCAGACAAACTAATCAAGGATGTAATCAAGAAGAAATTTAGTAATCATTGGAATTCTTAGTTCGAATAATGGCGATTTATCAATCTGGTGCTCTGATTAAATTCTTTTTTTTATCGTCTCGCAGAATAAAAACTAGAACCTAATGCTGTTATGATACTCACCCTGTTTTTGACGATCTTTTACACTGCTTATTTTAAAACCGCTCTGGCTGGTTTATCATATACAAATTCTTTTATCGCAACCTATGACATTCCAAAGTATTTTACTTAATTATTAAGCCTAGTTGTTAGACTTAATAACACTAACCTCATTTTTGTCATCATAGCATAGGTTTTTAAAACTTTTAAAATATCTTTTGTAGTTTATTTGCTTATTTTCTATCATGCTTAACTCAAATAAATATATTTACTTAATAAATGTGTCATTGAACTTATTGTGCTGTTTTTAGATAAAACGAAACAAAAAAAATCAGCCTTCATACCCAATACCCCTAATCAAATCAGCCTTCATACCCAACTATAAAGAGGTCTTTTAATTCAGAAGCAAATTCATCGAGGTTTTCTGCAAGAATTTTAGGACATTTTCACTATATCGCAAAGAAATAAACTTTGTTGGTTTACTGTAGATAACGGACTGTTACAGCCTACGGTTGTAACAGTCCATTTACCGGCTGTAACTACTCATTGCTAGTAACAAGAAAATTATATTTATAAAATAATATTTTTGCAAGTATATATTGGAAGTGTGATGAGATGAGGTTTAGGATAGCGATGTTAATTTATACAATTTTACACGGAACTATTGGGGTGAAAAAAAAACATTAAACAGACTGAGAAGTACTAATTAATTAACTCAAAGAAGTTAAGAAAATTAAATTTAAAATCGTTTAAAGAGTTTTTTTGAGGGGAGCCGTTTACAAAATTGTTGCGTAATATTGCAATAAAATGTTACAATGCGTTACGAGGAGGGAGTGGGTCAAAAAATGTCTAAAATTACGTGACGTAATTATGGATAACCCCTTAATCAGTCTTATATTCGCGGTGATCTAGTGGTGATTGAGTAATATAGTACTGCTCGCTGGTGATTGACTCAATCACCACTTATAAGTACTATATCACTAGCAATGCGCGCACAAAGTACCAATTGTTTCATTGTTTACGTTAATGCGCATAGTTAGCATAAATTTTTCGCATTCATTTTCTCATAATTTAACCAAAAAATATTAAAAACGATATAAAATCTAATAAAAAATAAACAGACATATTCATTTTCGATTCATATTATTTTACATACTTTATTCTAGTTTCGATTCAAACTAGAATTTTGATTCTGATGTAGAATTTTTGTGGGAGTTAAAATGAGATTTTTAACTCAAAGTTTTACTCTGCGGCTAAAAAATAATAATTTTAATGACGTTGAATGGAAACGTGTAAACGCGCTAATGCATTTTTAAATTTTATTTTATCATAACGTTTATTTATCAGCATTTAATACAGGAAGTTCAAAAGTTTCGTAACAAAATTAATTATATTGGCACAAAGGAATTCGATTGTTAAGTTTAAATACTTTATTTACTATTTTTTAACTTTAGGCGGTAATGATGGCATAAGGTTTGGATTTTGCAATTAAATAATTTTTTTACTGCCTACTATCATATTTTGCCCCAGCTAGTGTATTGAATAATAAGAACTTTTTCGCTACTAGCGATGTCTAACATTTAAAGATAGTGACACTCTTGCATTAAAAAAAAAAACAGAAGCCATTTTTTTTTTACATGACAGTGATAGTTTATGTTTAACATAAGCTTGTTTTTTTTATTTTTTTATTTTATTTTTTTTTTGCATAAATTGAGTTCAATAAATTTATGCATCATGTTGTCTTATAAAACATCATGTGTGTAAAAATAAATATACTTCATAGATGTTAAAGAAATTATTATGCTGTAGTGTAAGTTATTTATGTAGTAGTGTGAACGTTTAGTCGTTTATTGTTAAAAAAAATTGCTCCTAACTTTAAGTATTATATTTTATATTTTAAAAAGATTCCAAAGATTTGCATCTTTATAACGATGTCTAAGTTCGTAATTTAAGTGAAATATTTCTTTTAAATAATAAAGGCGTTCGAAACTGCAAAGTGAAGAAATAGTTGCTGAACTAGTGACATCATTTTTACTACCGGAAGTTGAGAGAATTCACATGCGCGAAAGTAGTAAGTTTTTTAAAAATCATTTTAACTTAAGGAAACTCGTTCATATTCAATCTAAGTTATAATTAAATTTTTTATTATAGTTAAGAACAAGCAAAGAAGTGGTCTGCTAGCCGCGCATCGAGTTATATTTAACGAGTCATCCGTGTTTGACAACAACGAGTATAACAACAATTGAGTTCATACGGACAACGTGCTTTTTTAATGTTTTCTATTCATTTGTGTAAAATCTTTACTAAAGTAATATATTATTTATAGTTTATTATCAAATATTTATCTTTTTAAGAGAGTTTTTAAATTCAAGTTCTTTTAAATTCATCCATTCATTTTAAACCAGACACCTTAGCCGCGAAAATGAATAGAATTGAACAACACGATTCTGCAAAACTTAATTTCATTTCCAACCGTTTGAATAATTATTGCTTAGCAACAACAGATTTTTTAAATTTTTAATGTATTGTCTAGATAATTTTTTTTGTGACGTTTTTGTTAAAAAAAATCGTTTACTTTTGAGGCATTAAAATCTTTTGATCTGTTTGAGTTATCGCTGCAACAACATTTCGGTTTACTCGTATACATTTAATTTATTGGCGTTAATGATTTTGCGTAAGAAGAGTATTTTTTCCACATCTCATTGTTTTTCTTTAAAGTCAAAGTATATAGCTTATCTATATTGAACTTATTTAAATATATACAACATAAATAAATATACTTTCAATAATTAATAAACACAGTGTTTGATACTGTGTTTATTAATGTAATTTATTAATAAAATAAACACCAAGACCAAGTTTTTTTTTTTTTTTGTCTACATTTTATATGATTTTTTCAAAATATACACATTGCGTTAATTAAGCTGATGTATATTTATTTTGTTATAATTACCAAAAACAACGTGTTACAATTTCTAAGGTAATAATGTCTAATAGAACTATCGCTTTTCAAAGGAATATTGTTTCAAAATGTTGTTTTATTTTTCGTTAAAGTTGTAAACATTTAATAGCTTACGATTGCGATATCGACATTATGACATTAAACAACAAATAAAAAATAATTTATCTGTTATTAAGTTAGTTATAAAATATTTTGTTTATGCAATATTTTTATTTTTATATATCTTTAAAACTAAAACTTAGTAATCTCTATTCTATTGTAATATCAAATAGTTTTCATAATTTTGACTGTTAAAATGGTGGTCTTTTACGAACACGCTGATAAGAACCACATGTTTCATTTATTTGATAAACATTTTAAAGTTGATTTAAAAATAAGGTTCATGTAATTTTTTGAAGAAATAGTTACAATGAAAAAGCTAATATACTACTAACAAAATTAAGTTTAAAATTATCCTGTAACATTTTAAATACTAAAAGTGTAATTAGTAATTATTCATGATCTAAATACATATCACAGCCGTGACTAGGCTCCCCACACACCCGATTGGAAAAAACCCAGCAATTTTAGGGGGACTAATAGTAAATTTAGGGACTCTTTTGCAAATGTAAAGCTTTTTATTTTTTTTTCAGTTAAGATTTCGGGGCCCTTATGTCAGGTTTTGGCAGGGGGGACCTTGAACCTAGTACCCACGGCACTGATATATATGTGTATATATATATATATATATATATATATATATATATATATATATATATATATATATACATATATATACATATATATATATATATACATATATATATATATATATATATATATACACGCACACATATATATAAGCAGAAAATTATTTGTATATATAATTATATAATTTTTCAAATTAATATATTCAATGTATACTAACCATTTAGATTAATATACTAACTTTAATGAAGATCGTTAATTGAATAAAATCATCGGCGATAGAGCTCAGTTGTTAAAACGTTGCTAATTAGATTACAGATTAATGTCATTGCTTACATCCGCGTTTTTATTATTTACTTTAAATCCTTTCAACATTTTACTGTTCAGAAGAAAACTTCAGTTCAAGGTAGATTTTCTTTTGTTAATTTTTATGAAAACATATATACTAATGTATCACCCAAATATAAAGTACATAATACGTATTTTATATTATATACATAATATATAACTTTGCACACAAAACCATTTTTTGCATATTTTTTTTTTTTAGAAATGTCAGAGTGTAAATCCTACGACATAGTTGATACCCCACTTCTTGATACGATACCTTTTGATGTTGTTGATACTCCTTTTTCTAAAAACAGTGATATCGTATTTTTTGATTCAATTGACACTCATCCGATCGATATACTTAATGCTGTACCTAATGACATCGTATATAAATTTGTTGAAAATAGTAGATCTCCTTGTAAAATTACTAATGATAGTGAAAGTCCTAATTCTGAATTTGTGGATGGAGGTGTTAATCAACAAGATGTTGATGGTTTTTTTAGTAAATCTACGACCGTTACCTCGTCATATTCGTACACGCACACAACAATGGAAGAGGAGCGAAAAGATAACGAAGGCATTGTTTTTAAGCACACATCTTTTTCTCCTAAGCTTGTAACAAAAGAGCAAAATACTAAAGTCAGTTATGATTCAGACTTTTATTACGATATGTCGACATTTCCTCGCGGAAAAATGACTATTTTAAATGTTAAATATTTTAGAAGAGCGTCAGGTATGGCTGATTATCCACGCCATGGAACAGATCGAGATGCTGACAACTTGTGCGAACTTTTTGTAGAATTAGGATTTGTTGTTGATAGATATGACAATCCTACTCGGAATGATATCTTAAGTATATTAAAAGCTGCTGCAAACGAAGACTACTCAAAAATGAGCTGCTGCGCAGTTGCAATTTTAACACATGGCGAAGAAGGTATTCTTTATGGTACAGATGCACATGTCAAAATTAAAGATATTACAAAACTATTTCGCACTCGCAGTTTGGCTGGAAAACCAAAACTTTTTCTTTTTCAGGCCTGTCAAGGTTCAGAGTATATGAATCCTATTGATTCAGTTGATGGACCTGGAAATCTTGCCAATCAAAAAGATGCGGCTTTGACACTCCCATCAGAATCTGATTTTTTGTATGCTTATTCTACAGTGCCTGGATATTATTCCTGGCGAAATTCTACAAACGGATCTTGGTTCATGGAATCTCTATGTGGAGTTTTTCGTCAATATGCGCATAAAATGGATGTACTTCGTATGCTCACGCGCGCAAACGAAGTTCTTTCAAAGCGCAAATCAAATACTGCTGTTCGAGCAACTGATAATAAAACACAAATAGCTTCTATTGTGACACAGTTAAGAAAAGATTTTTTTATGAATCCCCCAAATGGACCTTTAGAAACAAAACCTCATTTGCCGGGCATAAAGCTTTAACTTTATATTTTTTATTGTATAAATTGTGACATTCATATTAAAGAACATTAGACAGTATGAAGGAAACATTTTTATAATGCTTTTTTTGTGATTTTTAAAATTTTGAAAAAAATATACATATATTAATTATTTTTTTGTTTGCAAAAATGGATAAATTTTAAACTCGTTACTATTTACAAATTTAGGTTAAATTCTGCTGTTTATAATATCAAGATTAAAATGTAAATTAAAAAAGTAAAAAACCAGCAAATATAAATCTAGCCGAGATATGAAGTAAAGGAATTAGCCACACAGGTATGAAATAGAAGATGCAGATTACAGAGATATGAAGTAACGGCTGCAGATAGAGCCGGTATCAGTAGCGGATAGAGATTTAGCGTCGTCGGAGAGGGGCCGGAGAATTAGTAGAGGGCGACAAGAGTTAGGAGTGGCACATTAACTCTTTTAAATATTTTTTTTAAGAATCGCACTTGAGATAAATATATTTTATCGATGCTTTTATGTGCCTTTTATCATAACTATTATCACACTAAACAATCTAAACTTTGAGTTTGCTAAGTTGACTTTTGTTAAGAATTATTATTAAAAAAAAACATTAAATATTATTGCAATTGTTTGGTTATTTAAAATTGTTTTCACAATTATTGATTACTGAAGAAAGCACGCATGAAGAAAAAAAATTTACTTTCCCGCTAGTTTATATAATTTTTTTTCAACGTAATTTTATTTCGGACGGGTACAGAACGTTCGTTGGACGTCTTAAAAACATCATACTGATTCATAACTAGAGTTGGAAATCCCGGGATCCCATAATTCCAGGATTCCGTGATTTTTAACTTTTTTTTTTTTTTTATCCTTTTGCTTGAACATTTTCAAATTAAAATTTCTTCTTTCGAGATTTTACTATTTTCATATTGGAAATTCCTGAATTACTTTTTTTCGTTCGATTGCTATCAAATTCGAACTTTAGAAATTCGAAATTCTTGCAATTATGTTTTTGAATAATTGAATTGTTATTACATTATTAAAGTTTGTTTGTGCTTAATCGTATTTATTCATGTTTCTTATTATCTCGAATTTTCGTTATTTGTTTGTGACTATTTTATAGTACTAGTTTTAATTAAATTAAAATTGCTCGTTATTTGAACAGTAAATTTTCTTTAATTATAATGACTTCTTACGTTGAATATGACAAAAAAATTCTACGCAGTAGCGTAGAATTTTTTTGTCAAGTAATTCTACGCAGTAGCGTAGAATTACTTTTTTGTCATATTCAATGTTTTCTTGATAAAAATTATACATAAAAACAAAAACCTTATTTTTAAATACAATTTTGATTTAATAATTTTTTTTTTTTTTTTGTTAATTCACCTTCCCAAGGCCGAAAAGGTTGGGCAATCTCGTAAATGTCTTGTAATTTGCAGTAAACCCAGTTGCATGGTTGATGATGTAGAGTTTGTAATGGTTTTACCGGCCAACTTTTTCATCTTCAAAAAGGTTATTTTCACAATAAACTGACACACTTTTAGTCATTATTGTATTGTTCAAATATTAGTTTTAAATACACTTTTTTTGTTTTGTTTTGTTTCGTTTTGTTTGTTTTACCGTTTAATAACGTTTGCAATTTAAAAGTATATCGTATATAAAAATCGTATATCGTATAGTATATAAAAGTATATAGATGGCACAAGAGACGCTGCTCTAAAGAGCTAGTGTCTCTTGTACCATCTACTAAAATTCACTCTTGTGTCACTCGTCATTCAATTAAGTCTCATCCTTTTTCTGTTACTGTTCCTAAGTGCGCCAAAAACTCTTATTCGTCTAGTTTTTTTCCGCTTTTGGAATTCGCTTCCTTCGTCTTGCTTTCCTGAATCATATAATTTGCAATCTTTTAAGTCGTCTGTCAATCGTTATCTTGCTCTACAATCTTCATCTTTTCTCCTTCAGTAGCTTCCAACTCTGAATGGTGGTTATATATATATATATATATATATATATATATATATATATATATATATATATATATATATATATATATATATATATATATATATATATATACAAACACTGGCAAGGAAAGTAGAAGACATTTTTTGTCTTATCACCGAGCCCCAAATGTATGTATTTACAATATCCGTATTATATATGTATACTTTACAGCTTATTTATTGAAAAATATATAGAATTTTACTTATTTAAGTAAAATATATAAAAGATTGTCATAAAGTTAAATTTAAGTAAAGAACAAAAAAATAAAAATAAAAAAGTACTTTATTTACAAAAAAGTTTGTATAAAATTAAAATAAATTTAAATAAAATTAAAAACAATTCATTGATAGTTAAAAAAAAATATTCAAGAATTCAGATTAGATTTCAACATTCAAGATTAGAGGAAACATCATAACTAAATTAATGAAAAAAAGTTGATACATTCTGAGAAATGTTTTATATAACTGAATTTTCTTTAAAAAAAAAGCATTTAAAATAGGATATGTTAAGATCCATAAGTAATAACACCTGTTTCAATTTATTTTTTAATTTACTTTTTTGGTATTTGCAACCTTAGGAAACTTTTTTAATATTACGCCCAAAAAGTTTACTGAATAATTCTATTTTAATGTTAGCGTTATTGATTATGGAATAAAATAAATTTATTTTTATCCACATTAGCTTTACCTAACTGTTCGTTAGCTGTTTCAAAAAATGTTTTAATATCTCTGTGGGAATAAATAAGATTAGAATCATCTGCAAAACGAATACAATTTAAAAAGTCCGCTGCTAAATTAAAATCTTTTATATACACAAGGAATAATAGGGGTTCTAAAAGAGAGCCCTTAGGAACCCCACAAATTCCAGCATTGGAACTGTTTGTTTTCGCTCATATTGTATAAATTGCTTTCTTTTGGCCAAATAACTTTTAAACCAAAATAAGTTATTTTATTATTTTTTGCTCCAGTATATTCAAGTTTTTTTATTTGTATTTTGTAGTTTACAGCATTAAAAGCCTTTGACAGATCAATGAAAACTCCTAATGTAAAGTAGTTTGTACATAATGCGCTTGTTATTTGATAAACTATTCCAACCACTGCATGTTCAGTTGAACATTTTTTTTTAAACTAAACTGTTTTAAATACAACATAACGTTTTTTGATAAATGATTAAATAGTATGTTATACATTATTCTTTCAATTTATACACTATTCTTTCAAGTTATACATTATTCTTTCAAGTTATACATTATTCTTTCTAGCAATTTTGAAAAACACGGTAATATAGATTTAGGACTATACTTAGAAATAATGGAGTCATCACCATTCTTTATAACGGACGTGATTCGTGTAATTTTTAATTTTTACGGGACAATACCTGTTTTTAAAGAAAGATGTGAAACAAAAGAAGTTCGATTATATTATAAACAGAATTCTCAACATTAACGTTAATTTTATCAAATCCAGCATTTTTGTTAGTGTTGAATTTAACTTTTCTAGTTAAACGTGAATTCAAAATATATTTTTGTAATTGATTTTTACATAAAAGAACTTTGATAAATGTATCGCAAAAACCACATTAATATATTTTTTCTTTATGAAGGTGCTACGTTTAAAGTTACTTCATAGTCCATAGGTGATAAAAAAAATATTACTAATTTCTAATGTCTAATACGAACATTAGACTTCTGCAATTCATATAATCACATACCACTTTTATTTAAAGCTAGAACTTTATTGATAATAACTTTCGACAATTAAAACTATTGAAACTTCTTTAATATTTAAATAAACTATTAAAATGTATGAAAGTTTTGGTTTTCTCTCATCACATTAAAAGTCACTTAAATATACCTGAATAAATAATTGATTTTTATATACATATACCTGTACAAATAAATTATTTATAAATTTTTTTTTATTCTTATACAAAGTATTTGGAAATAATAGTGTCTAATTATAATATTTTAAAATAAGTTTTCAGAGAAATATTTGAGAAAAATTACAATAAATTTATCAAGAATTTAGATTACTCAACAAAAGAATAGGAACTTTTTTTAGTGAAATCTTAGAAGGATAAGTTTTAGTTAAAAACTTATCAAAAAATTAAGTTTTAACTTTTACTTTTGATAAATTTTAATTTTAATTCTTTTTTAGAAATTATTATGATAGAACCTAAAACCCAGCTAGTATAAGCGTCTAAATTTGTTTCTGTGGATGTAACATGTCCGTAAGATAGATAACGATAGCTAACGATTATTTGACGCTAGCTATCGTTATTTATCGTTAGCATGCTGACAAATAGTTATCTGTCATCAGCATGCTAACGATAAATCTTTTCTAAAAATTTTTATAATTTAACAAAGGTTGCGGTAAAATCAAAAAAGATTTGAAACTATTTAACAATGGTTAAAACATTCCTAAAAAATATTTAACAAAAATATATGGCAATCAAAAAAAACTAATGAAATAAAACAATAGTTAATTCTTTAAATTTAGGGGCTCTTTTGCAAATCTAAAAAGTCATGTTTTTTTTTTTTTCGTTTTTTATTTAAGTAATACCTAACTAAAAATTTTTAAAGATTTTAGGGCCCTAATGACAAGTTTTATTATTATTATTATTTTTTTTTTTTTTGGGGGGGGGGGGCTTGGACTCATTAGCTACGGCACTGAGCTAAACCTTGTAACTTTTAATTGTGCATATTCTATAATTTTGCTTATTAAAATTATAATATTATGGAGTTTTAATACATTGTGGTTTAACTTGGTACTTTGCTTTATTTTATTTTTATGTTTTGTCATCATATTCCCACTTTTCCTTCAGAAACATGTGTCTGAACTTTTTTTTTTTCGATTTATTTCTTCGAATTTTTTTTTTTACAATTACATTGTTCTCATTGATTCGTTTCTCACCAAACCTTTCCATGGCCTTTGTAAGCATTTCAATTACTTTATTTTTCCAATTTCATTCATGTTTCTTCTGTTGAGCATTAGTTTGTTTATCAATATCTGTAAAAATATTATACAACTCCATTAACTTGTCTGATTCCGGAGGAGATTTTCTTCCAAGTCCTGATAATGACTTGGATTTGTTTGCTTTAGCTTCATATTTTTAATAAAATTATAAATATTTCACGTACC